GAAGATCAATGACACGAAAGCCAAATTTTTGTGCAGATTTTACCTTTTTATGCCTATGGTCTTAAACTTTTGATCAGCTGATGAACAGCCTATTTGAGTTTAAATGCAGTTTTCAATAAATTGCCTACTCTCTATTTTTTGTCTCTTGCTCCTGTTTCTTCTTTTGGCATTTTGAAGCAGTACTTACAACCCGGTTATGATCCACCAGCGCAAAATGCAAATATTTGCAATGTTTCCCCCGGTCTTAAAGGAACACTCCAACTTTTTGGGACTTTAGCCTATTCACCATATCCCCCAGAGTTAGATAAGTCCATACATACCTTTTTCATCTCCGTGCGTGCTATAAGTCTGTTTGACGCACCCACCGCTAGCCTAGCTTAGCACAAAGACTGGATGTGAATGGTTGCAGCTTTCATATTAATCCAAATGAGTGACAAAATAACGCAAACGTTTTCCTATTTACATGTTGTGATTTGTATAGTCACAGAGTGTACAAATAACAAAGTCAAATGAGACACAGACATCTTTTAACCGTATAAAACCTGGGAACTATTCTCTGAAGGCGAAGCACTGCTACTTTGCCGGAGTAATAACCGCATCACCGGAGACACGCCGTGGTGAGGAGCGGAGAGTTCGCTCAGTGTTTGGGTAACAGAGTCAGCAATTTATAAATAGTAAAAGCGTAGTTTAGAGTCATGGGTTTTCGCTCTATTGTAAATAGCTGCGACAGTAAACAGGGGAGGTAATACCATGTTTCACAGAATTCCAACTAAAAACGCTGACTAGATGAATAAATGGCTAACTTACTCTGGATATTTATCCAAACACACCTAAGATTATCAAGGGACATTATGTTTGCTCGGTACATTTCAATGAGGACGATTATTTTGAAAAAAATGGAATTTGCCACACGGACCATAATGTGCTGAAGGATACGGCTATCCCATCGATAGCACAGACAGGACAAGTGGATCACCTGCGGCTGAGGTAAGTGTTATGTTTTTAGATGACTTACTGTAACAGTGCCATTAGCCAGATCTAATGTAACGTTAGTGACACTATTATATGAATAGGGTATGAATATGTTTTTATCTTGATGCGGTGCGGACACGCTTGGAAAAAAACGAGCGCGTTGAACTTTGCACCCTGCGCGCGGCGCGCCTAGCCTAAATTTGAAATAACCATGGAAATAACGAACTTTAGCGTGCAAAAGGGTACGATAGGCAGTTCAGGCTGAGTTCATTGTGCAAAAACAATTTGTGCTATTACTTTCCCCTTATTCTATCCTATATGCAATTATACTGTATATTATATGCTGTTGAATACATTTGGTTCAGCTAATAAATTGCATTTAAAATATATTGATTCCCGTAATAATAATTGTTTATTCATGTTCTGTGATATTTATAAATCTGGATGCGTTTTTGGTTGGAATTCAATGAAACATGGTACTGTATTACCTGGTCTCCCCTGTTTATTATCACAGCTCATACAATAAAGCAAACACCCATGATAAACTATGCTTTTCTATCTAACGTTAGTAATTGCTGCCTCTTTATTCCAACGCTGAGCGAAGCGAACTCTCTGCTCCTCGTCACGGTGCGTCTCAGGTGATTGTTATCACTCTGCCCAAGTAGCAGTGCTTCCCCTTCAGAAAATATAGTATTTATACGGTCAAAAGATGACTGTGTCTCATATGGCCTTGATATTTGCACACTCTGTGACTATACAAACCACAACATGTAAATAGAAAAACGTTTGCATTATTTTGTCACTCATCTGGATCAGTATGAAAGCTGCAACCATTCACATCCAGTCTTTGTGCTAAGCTAGGCTAGCGGTGGGTGCGTCAAACAGACTTATAGCACGCACGGAGATGAAAAAGGTATGTATGGACTTATCTAACTCTGGGGGATATGGTGAATAGGCTAAAGTCCCAAAAAGTCGGAGTGTTCCTTTAAGATTTTGTTCAGGAGTGTATGCAATCTTTGAATACACTAATTCAGTGTATAAACTTTAATCTATTTCTGTTATAGTTCAGTTCATCAGAAGAGATCAGGACCAGAGCCCAGCTATGTGTCTATGAGGAGTGACAAGTCTATGGGTTGGCCAGTACATTTTAGGAGTTTTACACAGACTTATCGCAGGTATTACTATAAAAATATATGATTTAAAAAATAAGATGGATATTGTGAAAAAAAAGACATTGTGTTTATTAATACTGGAGTATTTTAATTTTACAGCCATAAAGTCCTCAACAGGTTTAGATCAAATCTGATGAAGAAGTTTGAGTGTCTGTATGAGGGAACAGGAATGCAGAGAAACCGAACACTCCTGAATGAGATCTACACAGAGCTCTACATCACAGAGACTGAGAGTGGAGACATCAGTAATGAACATGAGGTGAGACAGATTGAGACACAATCCAGGAGAGCAGCAACAGAGGACACACCGATCAAATGCAATGAACTCTTTAGACCTTTACCTGGACAAGACAAACCCATCAGAACTGTGCTGACAAAGGGAGTCGCTGGCATTGGAAAAACAGTCTCTGTGCAGAAGTTCATCCTGGACTGGGCTGAAGAGAAAGACAATCAGGACGTCCAGCTCATATTTCCACTTCCTTTCAGAGAGATCAATCTGATGAAGGACAAAACACTCAGTCTTTCAGAGCTTCTTCATGTCTTTTTCCCTGAAACTAAAGAAATATCCAGTGACAAATATAAAGTGTTGTTCATCTTTGATGGTCTGGATGAGTGTCGTCTTCCCTTACATTTTAAAAAGAATGAGACTTTACGAAATGCAAAGAAAAAGAAATCACTGGACGTGTTGTTGACGAACCTCATTGTGGGGAATCTGCTTCCCTCGTCTCTCATCTGGATCACCTCCAGACCAGCAGCAGCCGATCTCGTCCCGTCTGAGTGTGTCCATCGAGTGACAGAGGTACGAGGCTTCAATGATCCACAGAAGGAGGAATACTTCAGGAAGAGAGTCAGTGATCAGAGTCTGGCCAATACAATCATCACACACCTGAAGTCCTCAAGGAGCCTCTACATCATGTGCCACATCCCAGTGTTCTGCTGGATCTCAGCCGCTGTTCTGGAGAAGATGATGAGCGAAGCAGAGAGACGAGAGATTCCCAAGACTCTCACTCAGATGTACACACACTTCCTGATCCTTCAGACCAACATCAAACATGAGAAGGACTATGAGAAGAAGGTGACCGATGAAGATCTGATCCTCAAACTGGGGAAACTGGCTTTTCAGCAGCTTGTGAAAGGCAATGTGATCTTCTATGAGGAAGACGTGAGAGAGTGTGGCATTGATGTGACAGAAGCATCAGTTTACTCAGGATTGTGCACTCAGATCTTCAGAGAGGAGTTTGGCTGGTATCAGGGGAAAGTCTTCTGCTTTGTTCATCTGAGTGTTCAGGAACATCTAGCGGCTCTATATGTGCATCTCTCCTGTACAATCAACAACACAAATGAGTTTGACTCAATCACCAAACAGAGTTCCCGACCAATCTCTAAACAGAGTTCACAGTCTAAAGTTAAGGATTGGTTTAAAAACAATTCATCAAAACATGTTCCAACAGAAGAAGTTTCACAAAATTCATCAGAACATGTTTCATTATCTGCGCTGCATCAGAGAGCTGTGGAAGAGGCTCTACAGAGTAAAAATGGACATCTGGATCTTTTCCTGCGGTTTCTTCTGGGTCTGTCAGTAAAGTCTCTCCAGATTCTCCTACAAACACTAATGAAACAGATGAGAACATCTGACAGCAATGAGAAAACAGTTGAGTACATCAATGAGAAGATCAGGACCATCGACTCTCCAGAGAAATCCATCAATCTGTTCCACTGTCTGAATGAACTGGGTGATCGTTCACTAGTGAAGGAAATACAACAGTATCTGAAATCTGGAAGAATAAAGGAAGCCAAACTCTCTTCATCTCAGTGGTCAGCTTTAGTCTTTGTGTTGATGACATCAGAGAAGAAGCTGGACAAGTTTGATATTGATGATTTTGTTGGAAGTGACAATAAAACTGAACAACTAAAGGCTCTTCAGAAGCTGCGTCCTGTGATTAAAGAATCCAGATCAGTTCAGTAAGTATCATTTAGAACAATCAGTTCACTGTTAAAACATTAGAAAATAAAAGTTCATCAATCTTCAGTGCTGCAGATGTTGTGTAGAGTTCAGTGGTCAGGATTTGATGTGTTTCTTAAACCGTGACGATGTTAAATTCCTTCGGGCAAATTTGTGTATGAATTAGTTTACTAGTTGAATGTTCTTGCACATAAAGAAGGAATTTAAAAAACATTTGATGTCTGGTTTACAGCAGTCTTACATTTATATTTGACTATTAGACAATTAAACATTAACTTGATGATTAGATTAAAGTTTACTAAAACTTCACATTTTAATTTTACTGTGAGATTGACAATTAAGAATCAAATCACTGAGTGTGTGAAATTAGTGACGGTTCTCTAGTAAAGTGCAGATTTAATGTGTAGCAACGACTCTTACAGAACAAGAATAGCAATGTACAATGAGACATTTAAGATTATTTACAAGTCATTACTTTTGCAAATATTTGGAATGGAATTAAAAAAATATATTGATATGAATATTTTTCTATTAATCTGTTGTATCTATTTTGACGTGTTGTTTTGCAGCGTGTAATTGGCCATCGGTCCTCTCAACTCAAGAAAAACTAAACTTTTATTCAATGGATTATGTATAACCTCGGAAGAGCGCTCCCTTTACAATCATTATAAATCTGTCACTCATCTCAGTTCACAATCTCACAAAGATACATTATAAACTATAAAGTATACGCTGTATAAAGAAAATCTAACTTGCTAATAATCTGTCTTTTAGTTAATTAGAGGATTCGCGAGCGTGAAAAACTCGGCACTGAACCTTGAATAAGGATTGGAATTTGTTGGAAAACTGTTTGATAGTGTTTAAATTCTGCTATTTGATTTTCATCTCTACAGGTTGTGGGATTGTGGCGTCACAGATGAAGGTTTTGCTGCTCTGACTTCAGCTCTGAGATCAAACCCTGAACACCTGAGAGATCTGGATCTGTCATTTAATAAAATCGGAGAATCAGTGAATCTGCTGTGTGATGTACTACAGAATCCTCACTGTAAACTGGAGAAACTGAGGTAAGATCATATTTGACTCTCACACATGAATCACAATGTAAAGTATATTTGAAGTGTTCAGCCTCTTTCTCTCTTTTTTTTCAACATTGTATTTATTGATTTTAGAAACATTTACATTAAAACAAGCACAGAAAGAAAAATAAAATACAAAAATACAAAATAAAAATTAAATAAATAAAAAAGAAAAGAAATAATAATAATAATAAAAACAACAACGACAACAACTATACTATACAAATGTCAAGACAATGGTACATTAATAACATAATTTGTTATTCCTGGTTACACCGAAAATAAACTATTTGGTTCAGCTTCCTTTAAAAATTCTATAAAGTGGTTCCATACTTTGAAAAACTTTCCAGATTTTCCTTTAACAATATATGTGAGTTTCTCCAAAGCCAAACAACCTGACAATTCCTGTAACCATTGTTTAAAATTAGGGATTTCTGTGTTTTTCCAATGACGGGCAACTAAAAGTTTTGCTTGTAATAAACAGAAGGTTAACATTTTCTTACCAGAGTTAGTTAGAGTGCAAGTTACAGGGAACATATTAAATATACAAAGTTTAGGACATTTGGGAACATTCTGTTTCACCACCAGTGACAAAAAGTCCAGAACCTTTTCCCAATAAAGTTGAACTTGAGGGCACTTCCATAGACAATGGAATAAAGTTCCTATCTCTGAGTTGCATTTTATACATTGATTGGGGATGTTGGGATTAAATTTATGAAGCAATTCTGGAGTTATGTATACTCTCATTATCCACTTGCAGAAGTTTAAACCTGGTATTGATTGTTTGGGTTCGGGCCTTTAAACAGATACTCTGCCATTCATCTTCTGTTATATTCTCACTTATATCTTGACACCAAGCCAAACGCTTTTTCTCTGTATTTTCTTTACAGTTAGTGGAAATCAGTTTATAAAACAGGGAAACTTGCCCAGCACCATTAAGGTGGTTTAGAGTAATTCTTTCTAAAGGGGACAGCTCTGGTAAGAGAAGAGAAAGATGTTGTGTTTTATTGATAAAATTCCTAATTTGAAGATATTTTAAAAAAATGGGTTTTTGGCAAATCAAACTTGTGTCTTAATTCCTGAAAACTGAGCATAGTTTCATCGTTAAATAAATCTGCCACCTTGTTCAAACCTTTTGATGCCAAAATTTTAAAACCCCCATCATGTGTCCCCGGTGTAAACATAGTGTTTCCCCAAATAGGGGTAAATTGTGATAATTCTGGAATCTGTCCAATATGTTTCAAAACTTTATACCATACCACAATAGTATTTTTAACAAAGGGGTTGGAAGTGGCTTTTTTCAGTTTGGACAGGGGTGCTGAATACAGATACAGGTTCAAAGGCAATTTCTGAGTTGTACTCGCCTCTATCTGTATCCAAGGGATAGAATTATCATTTGTAAACCAAAACATTGCTGCTCTTAGCTGAGCTGCCCAGTAGTACCACTTAAGATTAGGCACCTGCAACCCTCCCCTTTCATATGGTAAATACAAAAGAGAGAGCCTCAGCCTGGGACGTCGATTTGCCCAAATAAAATTGGTAAACAGTTTCTTCATATTACAGAAAAAATTCTGTGGTGGGGGGAGAGGGATTGATTGAAATAAATATAAAAATTTTGGGAGAACATTCATTTTTAATATATTTATATGTCCAATCTGAGAAATTGGTAGGGAAGACCATTTATTAATTGACTCAGTGACTAATTTAGTTGTATGATTATAATTACTGGTAACCAAATCTTTATATCTGCGGTAATATTAATACCAAGATATTTAAAATCTTCATGAGCATTTTTAAAGGGGGTCTGGAAGGGAGGTGTAAGACATTCTGTTTCTTTTAGAAATAGGATCATAGATTTTCACTCATTCACTTTATAACCGGAAAAGGATCCAAATAATTTAATTAGGCACAATAAAGAAGGCACAGATGTGCTTAAATTAGATAGAAATAATATAATGTCATCAGCATATAAAGCTATTTTATTTTCAAGACCGCCAATTGTAATCCCTGATATATCTCCACTTCTTCGTACTGCAATAGCCAAAGGCTCAAATGCTCAATAGCCAATGTAAAAAGGAGCGGCGAAAGGGGGCATCCCTGACGTGTGCCTCGAGAAAGTGGAAAAGATTTAGAGATTGTATTATTAGTCAATATCTCTGCTGTGGGTTTTGAATATAAAATTTTAATCCATTTTATAAAATACGGACCGAAACCAAAATAAGAAAGTGTATCAAAAAGATAGTCCCACTCCACCCTATCAAAAGCCTTCTCGGCATCTAAAGAAAGTAAAGCTGTATCCGAGACTCCTTTTGTTGAGTGTATAACATTTAACACACGCCGTATATTATGAAAAGCTTGTCTACCTCTTATAAAGCCATTTTGATCAGGATCAATCAGTAAAGGCAAGTACTTATCAAATCTACTGGCTAGAACTTTAGCAATTATCTTTGTGTCAGAATTTAAAAGACTAATAGGCCTATAAGAGCCACATTTCGTAGGATCTTTCCCTGGCTTAGGAATTAAAGTTATGAGGGCTGAACGCAAGGAGGGGGGAAGTTCTCCAATATTGAATGATTCATTTATCATGTCAATTAATGGGGTTATCAATTTGTCACAAAAGATCTTGTAGATGTCTATAGGTAGACCATAAGGACCTGATGCTTTCCCACGATTCATACAGTCAATAGCTGCATTCAGATCAGTTTCTGCAATTGGTTGAGCTTTGTCTACACTTACAAAAATTGACAGACAGTGAACTGTGGATAAAAGATGCAAACAAACAAAAACGCATGGGAGATCGATTCAGACTATAAACTTCCACGGGTAAAGCTGCTGTCAAAACATTACTGTTAATTTCACATAATTTAATTGAACGTAACTTTTGCGTGTTAAACACGATGTGGTTCATAGTAAAATATTGTATTACTCTCCCCATTGCACATGAATGTCATTAAAAATAATAATAACCTTTTTCATGAAGATAGGCTTATAAACAAATTATTATGCATGCATTTTTGTAATATTGCAGCAGGTTTTTTTTTTTTTTTAAAAAGTGCACCTGAACGCAAAACAATGTATTTCCATAAGCAATCCCAGCTAGAATTGTTCTTAAAATTTTGTTCTGTTCTAATGTTTTCAGCGGGTAGTTTTTTCCCAAAAAGAACATTGTATAATCTGTTATCTCAGCAACATTCCCAAAACATCCTCAAAATATTACAGTTAAAACATCCTTAAAACATTATTTCAACATTACATTCAAATGTTTTCTTTAAAACAGTACCTTATGGCTTTACAAGTTTAAACCAAACTTGTAGGGAATGTTAGCCAAAGTTCTGAGAACGTTCTCTGCTAGGATGCAAAATGTGAAATTGAAAGAATGAATTAAATAATGTTTTTGTGGTCCTAATGTGCCAGAAAATAACTATATTAAAAAAGTCTAAGGTTTATTTACATCCTTAGCTTTATTTATCCTTAGCTTTAGTCAATGATCACATTATTATAATTATCAATTATAATTTGTTTTATTTCTATTTTTAAGATGCAAATAAGCAAAAACAAAACAAACATAAACACTAGTATTTGCCTCATATAGGCTATAGTCTATATTATATACAATATACAGACATGTGTTTTATGAACTAAGCCTATCTTCATAAAAAAGGTTAAATATTATTTTTAATGACATTCATGCGCAATGGGGAGAGTAGTACACTATTTTCCTATGAACCACATCGTGTTTTACACACAAGTTACGTTCTGTTAAATTATGTTAAATTAACAGTAATATTTTGTTTTGACAGGTGGTAGCTGTGTTATGGCTGCTTTATTATGGCTTGCCTTTACCCGTGGAAGTTTATAGTTTGAATCGATCTCCCATGCTTTTTTGTTTGTTTGCATCTTTTATCCACAGTTCATTGTCTGTCAATTTTTGTAAGTGTAGACAAAGCTTTCATGCAGGATCTGGGTGCTTGCTGTGAGACAAAAATCAATCGATAAACGCATATGGCAAATGAAGGGCATTCAAACTCGCTTCAGCCAATTAATGAGAGGCGCGCGAAGGGGCGTGCGATTTGTCCGCGAGTCGGAATTCGGTACAACACCTGTTTTAATACCGAAAAGACTCGTGTTTTTCTTTTACACTATGCTGAAACGTACAGTATGCGATTTTTGGCCACCAGGGGTCACTTATTTAAAATAATAACAAAAGACGTACTTTAATGACGTCGGGAAAGGGCGTGGGCTCACGGGAGTTGTTGTCGCTGTCAATGACAACCAGCTCAGCTCATGACATGACATCATCGTTTCACAAAATATACGGATATACGGGATCTCTATGTAGATTTAGCTTGTCGAGAAGCTTTAAATGCAACCCCAATGTTTACCTGTGTCATGCTTCTCCTGTCTCAAACCCTTCTCGGGTCATATTTTTCACCCGTACGTTTGAGCTTTACTGAGCTGGCTGTAGCAGCAGAACGTGCGGGCAAAGCGTAATCGTGGTCCATAACTATAGCCAGGGTTCCTACGCAGTTTGGAAAAGTATGGAAAGTATGGAATTTGATTTGAGTAATTTCCAGGTCTGGAAAAGTATGGAAAAATAAATTAAGAATATGGAAAAATATTGATGTTTCCAGACTATTGTACCTATTTCGTTTTTCAAAATATAAAATGAATCATTTCTAAATGTATATAATATTCAATCGTCTTTTTCATGGCGTTTGGATTAGGCTGCCAGCGAGCGCTGCCTAAAGATCGTTTTTACACTTGATCTGCTGGAGTCTAGGTCTGCAGTGATTGGTTGTTACGTTGTTAGGCAGCAGTTGCCATCACAGTGCCCCTTACCTCAAACCTGTTTAGAGTTTGACTAAACATCTTTGACTTTGACATCTTTGGCTAAACAACTAAACATGACTTAAGCTCTATTTTCTAATTTTCTGGTTAATTGTACATGAACTTCCCTTCTGTTTCTGTCGGGGTTTAGAGTTATTTAAATTTACAAAATTACAAAAATGAACAACATTGCACTGTTTTAGCATTGCAGTTTTAATAAAATGCTGTGCTTTGAACCTGACTAGGTTTGGTGTTGATTGTACGTGCATCAGTAGCTGCAATTTTCAAATATACAAATTTAACATGATAGCATACACATTTTGTCTCAGAGTGTAACATAATTGTCGGTGCTGAAAGTTGAGGGTAAGTGCGCCGCCATGTAGCGCCGTTGTGCTTCAGGATCTTCCTGTCTAGTTACTTTCCTATCCTAATAAAAGGATATAAAAGTATTAAGTTAAAGGCACACTATGCAGGAATTCCGTTTTTGTCAAACAGCGACCCCTGGAGTCGCTGTGGAGTACTTGTGATGTGTTACATAGTATACAATAGTACATTGTGTTTAATTAGTCGTTTAATGAGATCTAAAATATGTTGTGAGTGGTGAGTATTTTTCACGTGAATAAATACATAGATCCGACTCATATCCCCATGTACTAATGGTCCAGTGGCAGAACATTTTCCAAGTGTGTCAGAGGTTCTGGGTTCTAATCCGAGTAGTATATATATTTTTTTTTTACCTCATCAAAACCAATTGTTTTATGTCAAGCAGGGACACGTTTTTTTGTGCATTAGGTTTTGTGTAACAAATATAGAGAATCTCTCTGAAGGCTGTGCGAGTCACAACAGAACACTGTATCCGCACCACTGATCGCAGCGCCAACGAGCACTTTGGTCACTTGATTTCAAAAGCACATTTCAGATCGCCTCTCATTTAACAAACGAACGAAATGAATGCTCAGGGGGTGAGACAACCACCTTTCAACCAGAAAGAACTCATATAAATATTCCAATAACTCCGAAGCTGTTCAGTTCAGCTAAAAATATGGTCGGAAAAATCTGTAGTGAGGTCTGGAAATTTGAGTCTGGAAAAGTATGGAATTTTAAAATGGAAATTGTGTAGGAACCCTGTATAGCCTAATACAGACGAATATAAATATTTATATTACGCTCCTTCAATGAATGACCTACTGTATTTTAGAAATTTTTTTCATATATAGAGCGCACCGGATTATAAAGCACATAAGATACTGCAGTCAAACGTTTGACTGGGTTTGCGTTATGCATCCTATGTGCTAAAGGCTACAGGGAATGTAGTGACTGTGCGGCGCCGGAGGTGAGGCGTTTAGTAAGCATGAGCGCGCTAAAGCAGGCACGTACATTCGCAGCCTGACTCATATGAGTATTCAATGTGCGCGGCTCGCTAACAGCAACAGTTGGCTGTTTTGAATGATACGACGCGGTTACTGTGAACGGGGAGCGCTTTATGCGCGAGCAACACCGGGGACAGTGTCTGTTAAGAGTGAGCAGGCACGTGATTTACACACATAAAAATACGTACTACTTTTTTTTCTTCGTCATTTTCTTAGCTTTATTGGAGGTGGTCCAGTGTTCCCCTTTGTGTTTGGCGGTTTCGCCGGGTTCCACAAGGAAGTTAGAGAAAATAGAGGAGTCAAAGGTTATATGACGCCATAGACGGGCGACGAAACGGAAATAAAGAAACGTCCCGTGTCTTCGAATTAAACTATAAATTTCTCCGTATTTGAAAGTTGGTGGAAACTGTCAGGATAATGTAAGTACACATCTAATATAAATATATAACATAGATACAGTTATTGTTGCTATTTTTAAAGCAGAAAAAATACATATTGTGGCTTGAACGGTCGGTTAAGTAAGCGAGTGCCATTTACGGAACCAGTGACCGGAAGTGTTCCAGCCTACCACAGACAAACCGGAAATTCCATTTCCGTTGTGGTGCAACTAGTCCATCTCAGCCTTTACCAGATCACGTGCGGTTTCATTTCGATCAGTCGTGCAGCTCTAATATCAAACTAACCATCAAACTCTTCAGGTTTGGCCTCAGATCAGAGGAAACTTTTAGGATTTGCAAAATTTGTCTCAGACGGCCAAAATCACACAGTGTGCAGTCGGCTTAACAGTAAAACTAACCTATGTAGTGAAAAGTGTCATTTATTAAAGCAGAATTTAAGTCTGAATTATATATATAGTGCAAATAAGAGATTATTTTTCCTGATTGAATGATACTTTAGATGTTGTATGATCATGTTTTATGACATTTTAGATCTCAATCTAATGATCCCTCAAACATATTAATTTGTTCTTTAAGTTTGAACTTTCTCTTTAATAATGGATTCACTGCTAAACTGATCTGATCTGAACTGAGAGAGTGAAGTGTGTGTCGTTGTTCTCTACAGGTTGTATAATTGTGGCGTCACAGATGAAGGTTTTGCTGCTCTGACTTCAGCTCTGAGATCAAACCCTGAACACCTGAGAGATCTGGATCTGTCTGGGAATAAAATCGGAGAATCAGTGAATCTGCTGTGTGATGTACTACAGAATCCTCACTGTAAACTGGAGAAACTGTGGTAAGATCATATTTGACTCTCACACATGAATCACAATGTAAAGTATATTTGAAGTGTTCAGCCTCTTTCTGCTGCTGTGAGTTCAGATTATTGAGTGGAAATGATTGAACACACGAGCTGATCCTCAATAACATGAAACTGCAGGACTGAGAGTCACACTGAAATACACACTTTCACACACAATCAACATTTCAGTCTCTTGACTTTAAACAGACTCGAGCTCAACACCGTCAGAACTGAGAAATGAAGAACATGCTGGATTCATTCTTACTGTTAATTATCTTCATCTTTCTGCATTGACTCTTTCTAAAGGGTTGTATTTAATTTTGTAAAATAAAATTGTGAAAAATAAAAAATTAAAATAGTGGTCAAAAAGAACAGTTCAGTAGTCTAACATTACACTCAAAATGTCTGGTCAGCACAAGTCTGGTGCCTAGAAAAGAAAAGAAAAGAGAAGAAGAAAATAGAGACCTTCGAGATGTCCTAAACAAATATTTTTAAAAAGGTGGTGACAGTGAAGCTGGAACTAACGTTTGTAAAGTCAAAGTAGAGCAAGGTAAGAAACAGCGCAGCCAACGTTTATGAGTGTTGTCAAAGACCCGATACTTCAGTACCAAGTTGGATATATTTATGGAGATGAGAAATAAAAAGTCGGCTGAAATGCGTCCCTGTCGGCATCGGTGAACAGATAATGGGCCAGATCCCAGTCTATTATTGCTGCACTGCTCATGCTTAATTAAAAGTTAAAGCACACTTTTGACGGGGGCCCATCTAAGATTATCTTGTCCCGGGCCCAGGCAAGACTGTCAGCTGTCCTGCACACACATACACACCAATTTATTAATCCAGACATATTACTTACAGATCTAAGTAATAGCAAAACTAGCCATTTTAGATCTCAATCTAATGATCCCTCAAACATATTAATTTGTGCTTTAAAGGGATAGTTCACCCAAAAATGAAAATTAAGTCATTAATTACTCACCTCCATGCTGTACCAAGTAGAGGTCGACTGATATTGGATTTTACCGATAACGATAGCTAGGTTGGGCTGTACTTGCCGATAACCGATTAATCAACCGATAGTTTTTAAAATTGATACTGGATAAAAACAAACATAACACTCCAAGTAAAACAGTGCTGAACTATAAAAATACAAAAAACTGTATGAACCATGAAAACAAGTCAATAAAAGGCATTCTTTCAAACAAACAAAAAATAATACTCTAAATAACAAATTAAACATTCCAAATGTAACTGTTTAACTGTTCTTTTTCAAATAATAACTAAATTTGCCATCTGAAAATAATTTAAACAATAAAATATGTCAAATGTGTGTTTCTTAACATGTTGCAAGTCCAATTTGTTAACAATGATTTATTAGCTAGTTTACATGAACTATGTGCATTATGCAATATAAATGTTTACAGCATTAATATTTGAGCAATACAATTTCACCTTGATCATTCATGTTAGTTCATAGAGTTTTAACTATGGTTAACAAATAAAAACCTTAATTTAAAAATGTAGTATGTTAATTAACAAACAATGAACAGCATTTATTAACCTTAGCTAATGTTAATTAATGTGTTAACCAGCGACTGGCAAGTTCGGGGCTTTATTACTGTCGGTGGTTCGGGGGGCTCCACTATGCGCTGCTCTGTCTATTATTGGTCCAACCTAATAAAAACGCCAACAGTCCGTGAAGCATAGCCTATATGAGTTGCGTATTTTAGTTCCAATTTCACTTTGTTTGTATTCGCTGCTAGGTAACGTGTCGATAGATCGCTTATTGCTCAGACGCACAACAGTTTGTGATATTTGTTTCCGTCTCACTCCGTCTCTCATGTTCTCACAGACGTTTAATCGCGCTTTTCTTGTCACGGATTCATTGACGCGTCCCTTCCACGCTTACCATGCGTTTAACGTGTGGCAAATTTACCGGTCGCACACTCTCAAAATGCGACTATTTGGTCGCAGTCTGAGCCCTGTATTTTATAGAACTTAATGAATATTTAATAAAAATAAATATGTATTAAAGTGATGGTGAAAAAAGAACCGAAATCGAATGCTTCTCTGATTCGTTTGTTTTTGTCGGCTGTATGAACATATCAGTTTGCTATCATACGTCTCTAGCTTATATGCAACGTCGCTGCATTATGAATGCATCAAAGTGACCAGCTGGATATAAACTAATGCAAATAGATGGTAACGAATCGGTTACCTAACGTAACCTCGGTTCTCTCTAGATGAGGGAACGAGTATTGCGTAAGCTAGCTTACGCTACGGGAAAGATTCATCTTTGCTGAGAAGTTGAAGCCAAAAAATGATTCCATAATTTTGTAATCATTGTCAACGCAGTCTCTTCTGAGGCAGACCATGAGCGGGCTAGCTAGCGGCTCATTGGTTCGCTCAGAGAGAATGCACGAACCTATGGGAGAGCGGCGCTGAGTCCGCGGCCAATGAGCGGACGGCGCTCGCTCACTGCGTCACAGCCCGCCAAAAGGGGCGTGGCTACAGTGTATAAAGGTAGCTCTCCCAGGCTAGTTCGTCGATTCTGTCAGCATGAAGCGAAACGCTGGTGGCGCAAGCACGGCCGGGAACGCAATACTCGTTCCCTCATCTAGAGAGAACCGAGGTTACGTTAGGTAACCGATTCGTTCTCTTACGAGAGGTTCTCTCGTATTGCGTAAGCTAGCTTACGCTACGGGAACACCTGGTCAACGCCGTGCGCGCTAAGTAACCACTAAGCATCCCAGGGGGGGAACACCGGGGGAATCTTTAAGTGGATGAAGATAATAAGGCGGCCAGCATAGCGGCCGTTATCATCTAGTGCAAAACGCCCTAAGGCGGCCGGCGTAGCGGGCCGTGACGTATAATGCATAAGCACATAGGGGAACACAAGGGGTGAGCCGGTTGTGATGGAACTCCCGATAGTGCGGCTTTCTATAGGAGAGCTGTATAGTACTAGACCGCCAGAATTTTAGCCTGTAAGGCTGGAACTTCCAAGTCAGTGTTTCCTCTAGGATTTTTTCAAGCCGTGGGGGCAGGCCCATTTCCCCAGGGGGAGGGGGCATGGCCCACGAGTGATATTCCCTTAGGCCACGCCCCCTTGTCTCCCCAAAGTATTATAAGCGATCATGCCCATCCCGTGTGCAGAATGATGCACTTGAAGCAACACCAAGTCACAGCACGCAACGCTTTACATTGAAAAGAACATAGCGAAGGGATTATATCTATAATCTATGCTTAGTAGGGCTGCACGATTTGGGGAAAATGTCATATTGCCATTATTGAGCCAATATTGCAATTGCGATATGCGACTCTGATATAATAAAATGGTTTCATGAGTTCAACTTGCTTGGTTCTAAAGTAAAATGCACACACAGATTAATGTTTATTTCTCAACTCAAACTAAAAACAACAACTAAATGATTGATAACATCTATAATGATCAATAAACCATCAACCAAACCAACATTACAGTGATTCCATCACTACAATTGAAAGCTATCAACTTTTTAAAAAATTATTAGGCTTTAAAAAATATATAACAGCTTTTAAATTAAGTGAACTTCAAACAATCCCCACATAAACCCATAGTAAAAAACATATTTACCTGTGCCCTTCCTGTCTTAACAGGTACAGAAATTGAATAAAGTTATCAAACAGTCTGCGCTGCATGAATCATAAATTATATATAGAATAATCCTTATTAAAGCTACAAAAGTTCTTTAGTCAAGATCAGTGAGTAATTTTCTAATTTCCCTTTATTCTTTTAACTTGACTGACAGAACGCTTTATTCGCTGCTGGCCCTTTAAGAGCACCCGTTGCCGAGACGCGGATCTCACACGCGCCTGCGGCGCCTCATAGCAGTAGCACAACTCTTTTCATCCATAGACTCTTATGTTATGAAGATACTAGACAAAAAGACATTTTGGCATAATTGTGTGTGCTATTGTTCGTTCAAGCTCGAAAGAGAACTGTGGCACGCGGTCAGTGCATGCGCATTATGCGAGTCTCATCTATTCTATTCACAGGCAGCTTTTCACTTCTTTTCGTGCAAAATGCGAAAAGATCTTGTAAGGGGGTCTTGTAACACTAGTCAAAGGATGACAAAAAAAGAAGAGATGCTGCGTTAATAGCCCTAATTTGTTTATTTCATATAAAATTCGCGGCATTTTGCGTTATATAATTGCATAGGTTTGAGCTCGCTATTACGACTGCGATATGATTAATCGTGCAGCACTAATGCTTAGTGTATTTTATCTATGAAACAGTTTTTTTAGCCTTTTCTTTTAACAGTTTTAAATTTCAGTGCGCATGAAGAACAAGAGCACTCTCGACTCCAGTGCTGTACACCCGGCCAGGGAATGTGATTTAGAAAGGGCAATAAACTCCACTCCAGCAAGATAGTCATTTTATGAAAATCATAGACCTTTTATGCTTTATCTACAAATAAAGTATAATATTGGGAACATTGATCTTGAAGAGAGTGTCGTCGTAATGTCGCAAACGAACGCGACGCGCTGTGTGAATGCTGAATGGAGAATGACTGAGGCGAGATGACTTTCCGTTAACTTTAACTTGGAGACTAAAATATTAATTTTACCACACATTATGCTATTGAATGACTTTAGAAGTCTTGGAATATAGTGTGAAAACTTGATTGTGCTTTACAAAGTTTTTTATGCCTTTAGTGGGGCTTAACAAAATAACACAATATGCAGAATGTCGGACGTCACTGAAAAAAAGCTGCAGCCGTGGCGGGAGGATTTTAAGTGTGGCGGCCCGCCACGGGAGAATGAATGTAGCGGAAACACTGCAAGTTATAAAATCTGACAAAATTGGAGGGGGAGGCACATCCCGCAGCCACACAAATGTCGTGAATGGAAATTCCGCAGGACCATGCCCACGATGAGGCCATGCCTCTGGTGGAATGAGCCCTGATGCCCAGAGGGCAAGGCAGGTCTTTAGCGGCATAAGCAGAGGCAATAGC